GACTCGAGATGGGACATTACTGCTAAATTGTCGTATATAACGGTATATATTTTTTTGCACTATAAAAAAAAAATATCCTTATTTACCTTGAATACACTGGAGTTTTCTTTGAAAGAAATATGAAAAGGGAATAAATGCTAGAAAAGCATGCATTCAATTTGAAATGCTGCTTGAATCAAATTCTATAATAAACATCTATTTCTCGGGGGCATTAAGAAAGTTCAATCGAAAGAAAGTTCCTGTGCAAAAATATATTCTATATAGTTTTGTGAATATAACAGTAAACAACTGCCACCCTAAACAAAAAAAATCAGTGTGAGTAAACTGTTGAGACTTGTTAGGATTAGAAATGGCTTGATCCGATACTTGTATCGTATCAAGTAGGTATTGTCCTGATTATTTTAGGATTGAACATTGAAAAAAATAAAAAATAAAAAAAAAAATAACAAAAGCCTGTCCGATCTAATACCTAAGACTACTTTGCACAACATGCCGTAAATAGCAACAATATCGCCTCAGAAAAAGCAGCCCGCAACATGAAACAACAGAAAACAAAAAACCTGATTTTTTTTTTTTTTTCAAATCTCAAATAATTCCAAACCCACATTTCGTCTCTTCTCTCCCAGGCCTTGTGAATCCAGGACGGAGTAAGGATGGGTGTTCCCAGACACACTGCAAGCTGCAGCAAAGAACACAGAAAAAAAAAAAAAAAAAAAAAATTAAAGACACATAATAGGTCCAATACCACATACTGCACTCAAAAAAAAAATAACCCCAATTACAATACCAGTCCTGAGACAATGATAATTAGGATTAAACAACTTGGAAATGCAATTACAAATACATCAAATAAATTATAAATTTTATATAAGGTTGGCATTCGTATTTTCAACGTTTGTTGTAGGTTTGGTATCAGTATGCCCAGTTATATTCTATCTCTTCTCAGCACATGTCCACGTACTTTATCTCAAAATCTTTTTTTGCCATTCCTCTGATGTGTGCATTTGTATTCACGTTGAAAAAAACCCCAGATTCCTTAAGTGGACCACCTTTAATTCAGTTTCATCTTTCTTAGACAGCGTCTCTGTCTCCAAACCATACCTCAGCAGGTTTCAGTACCATCTTATTGTTCAAGCTTCTACTCTTCATTTTACCCTTTACCCCTTCAATCCCCGGTACGGTATTGGTTAAGCAAACCAGGCATAATTGAGTATGTAACACAGTGGTATTAATGGGGTGTGAGTACAGCGATGGTTAACCTACCCGGTATTTCTCGCCATGTGTGGAGTAGGCGATTAGATGGGTGACCTTTGTGCTGAAGTCCTTGCGAATGGTTCCTCCCATGTGGTGGACCAGATTCACTAAGTTCTTCTACGGGAAAAGAATAAAGAAAAGTACATCAAACATACAGATAAAATATCTGAAATATCCATACATTAGGTATGAACATACAGATAAAATATCTGAAATATCAGTGTAGTCCATACATTAGGTATTTAAAGTAGGAGATCTTTTTTTCACACTACTCTGGAGTCTCTCTTTCTTTGTATTGTTACACATAGTATTTGGCTCTTATGTGATCACTGCGTGCATGCATTATAAACCCGCCAGTCTCATTTGACCATAAAAAACGAAAGTAGAGTGGAACCTCGAGATACGAGCATAATCCGTTCCAGGACCGAGCTCGCATCGCAAATTATTTTTTCCCATAAGAAATAACAGAAAAATCTGGAATAAAGAATAATCTGGAAAGAATAATCTGTTCGGGCCATCTAAAAAACTCCCTTAATAGAGCCAATAACAATGGAAAAACACACGAAAAGGGAAGAACACCTGATTCCATACAGTACCTTTCACGTACACTACGTAACTTACATAAACTAAGAATTAGAACTTACGTATTTTTTTTATCTTTCTTTGCTATTTTTTTGCTTTTTTCAATTCGTATTCTTTCTTTAGCAGGCACCGTGCTCATATTTTTCACAATTTCATGCTTTATTTCCATGGTCATCACGCGTTTCTTCTCACTACCATCCTTACCATCACTAATATGAAAAATAATGCACAAAATAGAGAGGAAAGGTAGCTAACGCAAACACAATGCGGAATGAGGCGGCGTAGGCCGAGCGTCGGCGTCTGTAAGCGTGCTCGAATCTCAAATCTTTACTCGTATCTCAAAGCAAAAATTAGCTCGAAGGCGTATCTCGGGATGCTCATATCTCTTGGTTCCGCATTAATAATAATAATAAACAGTAGCGTATTACTCGGACTATTAGTCTCACTTTTATTTCATCCTTTGGCTGGGTTGTCGACTTATATATTAAAATATATAGTTTCACCTGTTCAATCATTTTCAAGGATTTTCAGAGTCTGTGGGAATATGGCCTGATATGGTCGTTAACAACGTAGGAAATCCAAGTTGGAAAGATAAGCTCACCATTTCTTCTTTGTTCCTGAAGCCAGTAAAACATAACGACAGGTTCATCATCGTAGTGGAGTAAAGAGGACGACAGGAGAACTGTAGAGGCTGAGAGACAGGAAAAAGTGGATCAACCGAAAACCTCGTACGGAATTTTATTCCACAATGATAGTTAAAAATGATTTGCAGGTAAAAGGCTTACTTCTTCCTTGGCGGCGCAGCGAAGCACCACAGGAGGTCCCACAATACGGTTTTCCCGTTTGTAGAGGTAGTTGTAGTCTGGAGTATCAAAGTCTGTGAGAACAAACACCGTCTCGAACTCGGTGTTGTCTTCATCTCCAAACTCACGGACGTTATCTGTCATCATACATGGGGTGTTGATGTCCTGCAGGGAAATTGAGACAGCACGTAGAGTGTAAGTAAAGCAATTTGTTAAGCATCATGTTGATCCAATGTTTTCTGGAAAAATATCTATTTATACAGTACGCAATCATTTCTGGTATTCCGCAGAAGCTCCAACTATTTACTTATTATCCTGGCATTTTAACAGTTGATTGCAAAAGATATTTCAGAACTGAGACGTAAACAATGTAAAATATAAGGAACGATGAAAGTTTAGAAGTGATTAATACAGCAAGTAAATCACACAAAGCCACTCACAATATTAGTCAATACACAAAAGATTAAAAGCTGGGCATAAAAGTAAGGCAGCCTTCTGACAACCGTCTCAGCCAGAGTCAATATTTTAAGATTCATTGTTTGTTTCGAGGTTTTCAGGCTTTTGCTGAATCACAAAGCCTTTGTCATGTTTGTAAAAAAAAATAAAAATAATAAGACAAAATCTTTTGCTGAATCACAAAGCCTTTGTCACGTTTGTAAAAAATAAAAATAAAAATAATAAGACAAAACATTTTAATCAATTCAATTTTTCAAAGAAATGTGAGGCTCGGGACGGGATTCAATCATAGCTTCTATTGTCAGAAGTAAAACTGTCGCTGCTCAAAAACACACAAAGGCAAAAAAAAAGAAACACAAATTACATTTAACACTCAATTTAACATCCATTTCACACAACGCGTACCTGTGTGCAATCACAACAAAGATTTATGCAACTTTTCTACCCAATGGAAAAAAAATGAATTCTACATTAATGAGAGAACACAGAATATGGAGTTAAAATAACCACACGTTTTTGAAAGTGTGTGGGGAACTAGTTTGTTTTTTTACTGAAAAAAAAAAGAAAATAGGATCTAAATAAATATAATGTGTGGATACATACAGATCTTAACGGGAACATTCATATCCCTGGTGCAGTGTAAAGCTATTTGAGATAGAGTAAACCTGTTTTTAAAAACATTGTGTAGTTCATTGGGCCACAACTATAGGGCAGAGGACCAATAACAGGCCACGGTTCATTTGGTACCAGGCGGCACAGACTGCAGAGTTTTATTTTGATTTCTTTTTAATTTAGCTTTAACTGCGTGGAATTTTGTTTTCAACAACTATCCTGTCTGCTCCCATTTTCTTCTTTGCGAGACTCAGTCACAGTTTGTTTTCGTGCACTGGTAAATTTCCAAAATAACTTTAGTAAAAAGGAGTCAAAAATCAAATACGACTGGAGACCTTTTGTGAATAGAGGAGAGGACTAAAGATGAGTCAGCACAAGGTTTCAAGAAACTCCCACCAAAAAGTAAAGTTAGATACAAGTTAGATAGTTGGACAACAACAAATACCTATTGTAGTGTTTCCCATTAATTGCCGAGAACGTGGTGACCCGGCAGTCTGGTCGGCGCCCACCACAGTCTCGTTTGATCATTAAAAATATAATAAAAAGTATTTCACCATCTCTAATCTCCAGTCAGCTCCATTGCGCAAAGATCAATGTTGCAAAGCATTCAAAAAAAAAAAAATGTGAAATTATTGCTCGTAAATGTTTAGAACTGGGAAATAAAATATACCAGTAGGTGGCAATAGACAGGAGTCAGTTTCTTTTAAAACTCAGAATAACAAAGGGATTCGGGTGATTGAGGAACGGAATATTGAATTACCATATTGACAATAGATTTGATCATCATTTTCTCCTCAGCGTTGGTCTCTCCTTCTCTTATCTTGACCACTGGAACCTCCATTACTCTAATGACCTGTGGGGAAATAAAATATAAAACAAAAGCAAAAAGGGGATCAGAATAACAACAAAAGGCGAAAAAGGAGGGCGAAAGAAGGGCTGTCAAAATAAGAGTGTAAGGAACCACAAGAGGTAAATTTAAACAAATCCCCCTCTCAAGAAGTGGAAGGGACAAAGAAGAAAAGCAACGCAAGTGGGCGGTAAGACGGAGAATCGAAAAGGATCTGATGGAACTGTCTGCAGATGTCTTTGGATGTGCTGCTGCTTCTGCAGATTGGCAGGAGAAACTGATGATTTAAACAGAAACCTTCAGAAGTGACAGGGCCCAGGAGACCCAGCAGAGAATCTGTTCTCAACGCACTTAGCCTGCCACTCCGCCCGATCACCTACACACAGAGACTCACACAAAGGCAACTAGATGCAGCTCTTTAAACTTTAATGCTGCGTATGACTGACTTGCACACATTTCTGTGGTAAGGACTGCACAGCTAAATTCATCAAAACAAAATCTGTTATTCAGCGCCCAGACCAGGGGTGTGTCAAACATAAAGCCCACGAGCCAAAACTGGCCAGTTGGGGGTTCAATGCGGCCCACTTGATAAATTTTGAAAGTAAAAAAAATGTAAAAACACTGCATGTACATGATGTTTGGTAAAATCATATTTCATTAAATAGGAATATTTTGGAATATTTCTTTTCTTTTTATTTCTTTGCATTGAAACTAAGGTGAAAAACATGGAGTTATTGTTATTTATGAGTATTTATGTAATGATTGTACAGGTCCGGCCCACTTGACATCAAATCAGGCTGTATGTGGGCTCCTAAACAACCAGACACCACTGGTCTAGACCAGGCATGGGCAAACTAAGGCCCGAGGGCCGGATGCGGCCCATTCCGCTTTTTAATCTGGCCCGCCAAACTTTTCCAAATTATATAATTTATTTAAATTATCATTATACTTCTGCCTTTTTCCCTGCAATACCCACGTTTCTCCAATAGATGGCATCAAAAATGATAAAAGCATTTTAGCATTTTAGTCTTTATGCATGACTTTTATATGTCATTTATTTGAGTTCACATGAACTCTCCATCTATGTGCTCCTGATCCGGCCCCCTTGTATAGTTACCCCGACCCCCCAATATTCAACCTTTGGCTCACAACCCAATGTGGGATCGCCTAAAATGTCTAGCAATTAATAAAAAAAATTATTAAGATAAATGTTTTTTAGTTCTTTCTAATTCTAAAAGAAACAGAAAATCTAAGACTGGGGTCACCAGATGTTTGTGACGTTAAAATGGGGTCACAAGCCGAAAAAGGTCGGGAACCACTGATGTAATGTTTAAAAACAGACATGTCGAGGTCCACCTTGAGAATAGCGATGTCGTGTCCTACTAACCAAATGAAGAGAAGGCAGTGGCGATGACACAGGTGAAGGGATGTCACTTTCATGGCAACCAGTGGACATTCAAGGTTAATAGAGAAACGTTGTACCTGAAGAGCTTTCAGCAATGAAGCATTTCTGCTTGCCGCTCCCACCACGACCACCCTCGTCTCCACTTTTGGCAGCATATCTGTGAGAGACACACAGACGTTATGAAAGAGGGAACTTCGTCCCTAGAAAGTCATTATTCTTATTATTATGACTGACCACTGCGACTATGACATATATAAACAATGCACCTCTTCAATCCTATAGCGAAGCAAAGTGAGGCATTTTGCATATATATTAGATATTTATGCATAATACGCATTGAAATTAAACATGAAAAGGATGTGTATGCGTCATAACTGCACAAGTATAGTATTTTTTTTTACATGAAAAGGATGTGTATGCGTCATAACAGCACAAGTAAACGTTTTTGTTTTTTTTAATGTATTCAGGTTTCAAATGTAAGCCATTCAATTTAAATTTTACATACAATGAAAAAACAAAAATGTAAAGCAAACTTATAATTGTAAAAGCACAAAAAGATAAAAATTAATTAAAAAGAGGTAACCATATCTATCAAATGGAGCTAACATTTTGCGTTAGATATTGTGTGATAAATTATTTATACAACTATTTGTGGTGGTACTACTAAAGCTGATGGGTAGTCTGCCATCATCCAGTCAGAAGGCTAGCCTGAATTAAGCTACATAACACATTTGCTGCAGTAGATTTCAACAGATCTGCAAAGGTTTGGGGACAGCTTTTTCCAACTGGGTTCCAGAGTATGCGGAACTTTCAGGAGAGAAATATAGGAATGCCAACTGAATAGCTGTTAGCAATCCCTTCACAGAAAGAGCTTGATATTGGCCAGGGCTTAAACATAATGCCAGCTCTCAGATCCAACAGACAACGGTGGTATTTTATGGATCAAACAAGGCTGGTAAAGCACACACCAGAGGCTGCAAATGCTCTGCAAAAAAAGTGTTTGTGATCCAAAAAAATCTCCTGCTCTCCTGTCTATAACCTGCCATATTATGCTACTTTTATGGAAATTAATATAGTTCCTTGACATCTAAATTAAATGTTAGTGACCTTATTTGGTTGAAGGATTTAGCACAGCTGTGTGCGCTTCAGACCTGTTTGACATTTCTGTTCCGAACAAACCTTTACCAAAAAATGGTAACGAGACCCTGCATGCTACATTCACCTCTTCTGCAGGAGGAGACGTAAGGTCAGCTACACATAACTATGGCAGAGGATGAGCAGGCAGTGAGGGTTTGATGTTTTGTTTTGCAATGCATGATGGGAAATGCACAGTATACGGTTCCTATTAGTGTTTGTCTAAGAATGAATCGGGATGTTTTTGCAGTAGTTACTTCATTACTTCAAAGCTCATTACTTTGACATTATTTAATGTTAATATTGTAATATTATGTAATAATATATGCTCTTAATGTTACCGATTGACTCAATACCTGTTCAAAATCATGTTCTGTCCTGCCTTGGTTGGCTAAAGTACCTTCTCTGTTGAGGTGTGTGCGTGTGTGTATGTGTGTGTAATGTCATTAGAGTGTGTGAGGAAGTAAGTGAGAGGTTTGAGTGCAAGCTGGAAGAGTGCACTATCAGCACGAGTCGCAGTTGAGACAGTGGCTCCTTCCAGGACTTTTCTTGTTTTATTTCTTTAAATAAAACCACCCAAGCTGCAAACTGGTCTAGCGTAGCCCTATAATTCTAAATGAAAGCCAGTAATTTTCCATTAACAACCTTTTTTTTTTTTTTTTTTTCAAAATCCATATAGCAGTTGCCATCCAAGCATGAAGAGCTAAGCATCCAACAAAAGAGCAGCTGTGTTTAGGATTTAGGTTGCAGTCAGGTCGGGTACCCATGAGGTTGTGTAAGTATATTCTTGGATTAAGATTTGCCTTACACTGACATTACAGTTGATTCTGACTCAAACTTGAATACTATTAGTGAGCCCGACAAGTACAGACGAGTGATCAATAACACACCCGAGATAATTTATAAAAAGAAATATTTAAAAATGTAAACCAAATTTAAAAAGAAATAAATCACCTGTCCGAAATACATGCGATTAGCTTGATGCTAGCCTGTTTTATATGTGTGGTTTAATTTTATTTTCCAATTAAAATATCTGTATTTTGTTCACAGGATTTCAGAGGAAAAACTCAAGGAGGACAGATAGGAATACATTGTAACTTGGACAGACTGACCTTCTCCATCTTCAGGAGCCAGACCCAGAAATACATGGTCCTTAGTGGTTTCAGCAATCCTTGAATCATACACGGATGAGTCCACCAGGAGACTGCGGGCTGTCCCTAAAGTCAGTATGCTGTTGTCAGCCATTGCAGGAGTCTGATTAAAAGCAAAGAACAGGTTCAGAGGAACAAAAGTGGAGAGAGTGAAGGACTAATGGGTCAAAGGTGGAGAGAAAGGAAGACACAGAGGATGACACGGGGAAAAACTCTGGAGGGCACACATATGACACGGGGAAAAACTCTGGAGGGCAGAGGAAGAATAAGAAGAATGAGGAAGAATAAAGACAGCGTGAAGGCAGAGGTGAGACCAGGAAGACGCACAGGACCAGAGTAAAAGACAGGTGGGATTCAAAGGAACAAACAAAGGGGCAGAGATATATAGAAGATGGAGACGTCAAACAAAAACGTTGAAAAAGAGTCCGACAGGAGAACAGATGAAAAAACAGGGACAAAAAAAGTATGACAAAAAGAGAAGACAAAGTTGAAAGATGACAACTGTCAAACTTAAGGTAAGATACAATCTGCTTGGGTGTGTTACCTGCAGGCTCATAACACCAATAGACTATGGTTTAAGTCAAGCAAAATCTCCTGCTATATCTTCTTGTTGTTTAGTTAAAGTGTCTTTGATTACAGGGCCGTTAATCTGCGTTTTCACCACCCAGGATCAATAAGTAGTCAATGCTAAAGACAACTCAGTGAGTCAAGTGCTATAAATCTGGGGTACTAAGTTTATAGTTAATACAACGGTAAACACCACGAGTTTCTATAAATCTGGGGTACTAAGTTTATAGCTAATACAACGGTAAACACCACGAGTTTATTTAAGTGCTAAACCAATATATTATAAGTGACGTAGGATAATTAGCTTCTTGAAACGGGGGCATTTCATATTAGCTGACAGTGACAGACTTTAACTACATGTGCTGAAGTTTACCTCGCCGTAAACCGTAGAAGAAAGCATTCACAGACTTACCAACTGCTTAAGTGACTTTGTGTCGAACCAAATAAGTAATAATTTTAGCCTTGGGTGTTAACCCGGCTGTTGAATGAGCGTGGACGATTTTCCTGTGGCTAACGTAGACCAGCTAACGAAATCTACCGCGATATGAACAAATCCCAGAGATTCCTCTTCAACAAGGTCCTCGAAAAAAAAACCTCGTTAAACCATTGGTATCAACGCATACTTCTAGTGTAGAAACTGAGCCGACAGTCGCAATTCAGCCGCTTTTTTGTCTTTTAATGGCAAACGTAGACTTCATAATAGTTCGTGGTAGTTCACGAGTACAGCCTTCTGTTACAGCGCAATTCAAAAAGCAGAACAACAACGTAGCTTTGCGCTGATTGGACCAAAGCAAGGAAGACGCCACGCCTTCCCGCCCAGCGATACCTCTGATTGGTCGCTTTATTCAAATCTCGACGCTTGTTCCAAACAAGCTGTCTTCATCGACTATTGGAATTATTCAACATCCACGAAATATTTATTGTAAAATACATAATAATACATTTGTTGAAATTTTATTGAATAACTCAAGAAAGTCACTTTTTGCCCGGTTGGATTTGTGAGCCATTATGTGCTTCTATAATCTGTGTATTTTAGTCTTAGTAAATTCGAAGTGTATTAAGGTTTCACACATTTTGTTCATCAACGTTTGGCAATTGCATAACAAAAGCAGCCCTTTTCAAACGTATTCTACTATGCTGAAGTATGTATACTGAGGGATAATTACAGAACACAAGTACAGAACAATAACTATGTATAAAATTTAAAAAAAAAAGGCAAATATTCTTTAAAAAAAAATTTTAAAAAAAGGCAAATGTTCTTCACACTAGAAAGCACAGTTTTAACCTGAAGAATTTGACCTTCAACAATACATTCACAATAATACCACACAATAATAATTGAATTTACATAATTGGCAAACATATTATTATTCTCTTCTTTAGGCTATGGTTAATAAACCAAAAGCAGACTCAGTTAAAGTTGTGGGAGCACGTCTGCCACCACGTGTCTATGACATTACACACGTTAAAAATTGTCAAAGCATTTTCTTAAATAAGTTGTTTATATTCAAGTGTAATCATTTTAGCTAACATGGCTAAATAAGGCCGACGCTTTTGTTCTTCAACTACAGAGAACGAGAAAGTCGCTAAACTAGGACACAGCTTCTGAAAATAGATTTGTCATTTGGAGGGAGGTTTAACACCGTACTTCCTTTAGTGGAAAAAAAAAGATTAGAAGTTACAATCACACCGAGGATATACATTGTTCTTTAGGTTTCTAATATTAACTCGTCGTCCTCCGGGATCTGAGCGAGTACACAGCACCTTTTTTTTTTTTTCATCACACATGAGAAGCCACTGCTGTCAGAGTCACAGAAACTATGCTAAACTTTTCAACACCTTATTTCAACATGTTCCATAACACTGAAGCTATTAACAAATAATGTTTTGAAATGTGAAGACGCACCGGAACCACACTCACAATAACGAATGTATATTCAATTTAAGCAAGAAGTCAGGGCGAAACAAGTGATGAGTGATGATTCTTCTTAGCAGTCTGCTGACTTACACTTCAGTCTTGTGTCATCGCAAAACACTTTCACCCACAGATGTGTGAAAAAACACACAGCGAGGTGTCTCATTCCTCCCATCCCCTCTTGTGCTTGATTATCTTGGTCTCGGGGTTCCGTTCGAGCTGCAACATCATCAACAAAAGTTTGTGTTTTTGCACAGTCATGTGGGCGAAATGTTTGATCACACGCAGCTTAAGTGCCTTCATAGGCTATGTAAAGAAATAACAGAATAAAATGAGAGAAATGAATAGCAGTGGAGTGGTGATACAAAAACATCTGCAGTCTTTTGGTAGTTCAGTTCCACCCACAGGCCAAAAACATGCAGACTAATTTATGTCAGCCTAGGTCTAAGGTTCCCAAAGTAGGGGGCGGGGTCCCTACAGGGGGCGCAGTGCCATTGAAGGGGGGCCCGGATGGAATCATGTTTGCTTCTGCTAGGGTTTTAGCATTTAATTCAGCCAGTAATCACTGAAAGAACTAGAATTAGAATCATTTCATAAACCAGCGAAAGCGAAGCAACTGCTGCTGTAAGTCTTCATAGAGAACATTTTGTAGTTTGTTTAGTGAAATCCAGGTGATGTTTTGCTAGTTAGTTTATATGATGTAATATATATATATATATATATATATATATATATATATATCCTACAGTGATTTTATTTGACTAACATGGTTCATGGAAAACATTTATTTTATTTGTAAGTGTCAAATCTACATTCTCAATATTAAACCGTACATGATTTTAAAGCTCCAAATAAAATGTTTGGAAAAGTTCAACATAAAATGAATATTTCAATGCATATTAACAAAATAAAACAATATCTACATTATAATGATGGACACAGTATACAGACTTGGGAAAATCATTCGAAGATAATTACAGCAGAAAACAGCATAAAGATATCTACAGAAGATATAACGTTGTTATTAGAGCACATAGATCATAAAGAAGACATATGAGGTCCTGCGCAGAGTAAGGAAGAGTCCTGACCTCTGGTTGTACAATAATATGTTACACATTCATCCAAGTTGAATATACTTTTTAAGATGAAATCAGTTTAAGGACTACAGTTACCATCCTTTAAGGTAATGTGTAAGATAAAGTACAGATAACAGTGCTGATATTTTAGGTCGGTGTCAAGTAAAATTGTTTTTACAGTTTTAATAGAAAAAGCAATGAAAACATACAGCTAAACAGCAGTGCAACTAAACTTCAATGAAAAAGAAAAAAAAAAACCCTGTTGACAATTACAGTACATTGTGGTTGAAATACATTGTCAATCAGCAGATTTTTGACTTGCATGTCATGCTATTAGCGAGTGAATTCAGACAGTTAAAAAGTAGGGATGTCCGATAATATAAGCCAACCAATATCTTCGGCCCAATATTAGCATAATTATGTGATATCTATAAAAACCGTTATCCGGAAACTTTGCCAAATGATGTGCACCCTAAAAATAGTTTAGGAGAAAAACGGCTGTATATGAAAGTGAAAGTCACTAGATGGCAGCATTGCAGCTCATTCTATTTTAACAATCAGGGGACTGCATGCAGTTGTATTGTACGTGCCAGCAACTCAATATATTTGTTTGTACAGATAAACAAATAGATATTACCAGTCCCTTAATAGTATTTCAATTCGGGCCGAGGGGTGTTGTCCTGCAGCCAGGCCACCACTGCCCGGATATATCGGTATCGGAATCCGAAATTAGACATCGGATTTCGGAAAAAGGTTAATATCGGACATCCCTAATAAAAAGTCAAAGCTGGTGTATTATGTTAACCAAATCTTGTGCTTTACCTTGCACCTGTAGGAAAGACGACTGGCCAAACTGAAGACAGTAATTAAACAATATATTCTATTTACATGGAGTCTTTATACAGATTATCTGTACATAAAAAAAATGAACAGTATAATTTTTAGAACATTTCTGTTGGGATTGTTTTAGTCTTGATGCGTATTATTTACAGTAGATTCTAATAGTAGTTTATAGACAGAAGTCTATAAGACAGAAGTCTCGACACACAGGATCCAAACATAATGAAATCATAGCCATCTACTAGCAGGTGGTGAGACCAATAAAAGTCTCTCATTCAGAAATGGAATTGTAATATCTTTGTGGTAGGGACGTGAAGCAGCTGCGGCACGTAATGCAGCGGAAACCTGAAAAGCATGTGTTGTTTCCATGCACGGAGGTGAGGTGTTTGCACCCGGTTTAATAATGGGTTTAACAAATATATTTTTATGCCACTTTTTTTTTCTTTCTTTTTTTTTCTCTTCTTTCAAGATAAACACCAGCACACTCTGATCACTCTTCAGTCCCATGAGAAGACGGGCGGTACGAGTTAGATTAGGATGTCAGCAGGCTCCAACTTTGCAGATTCAGTGTTGAGTTTAAAAAACAAAGGACATGCAAAGGTCCATCTATAAATAACAAAACATTTTAAGTCCAGCTTAAAAAAATTCCACTTGCAAAAGATTCAGTTAGGGCCACGAGTCATGTCTGTGATGTATTCCTTGTCCTGATGGACACTTACTGCACATACTGGCTGCATCTCATACAAGGCATAGAGGGGCGCTGTGCACAGATCACTGAGGACGTCTGGGGAGGAAAAAGAGAAATGTCAGCAGAAATGTTGCACATAAATAACCAACATTCATGAAGCGGCATTCATGCTCAACTGGTAAAGCACAAAATAAATCTGAAGAGAAGTTGTAAATAAAGCACAGTGCTGGTGCTCAGGTTTGTATAACAGAAATTAGAAGTTTGGTTGTTTTTTTTTTTAACTTTTGAAATAAGCACAAATACTTCAGTTGGGTTCTAAAAGTGCCCCAATTAAATAGATGCAGCCATTATGTTTGGAAATCAAAAGAAAAATTGACCAGGGCTACATTTGTTTTTCCTTGAACATTATCTGAAATCAATTTTAACAGGCTTCAGGCATTATTGATCACAGACACATACGGTTCATGTCAGCAGATAATCTGAAAATGGTCTTTATTACAGTGGGAGGTGAACTGCATTTCGCCAGGTTTGAATTCCTATTTCCGATTTTGTATTGTTAGCAAACTATCGCTAACGGCACGCAGACAGAGGACGCATTGGAAAACTAACATAATTTATTAAAATGTCAAAACCCTGCAATGTATTGTATTTGACTTACATTTGATTTGTCTACAGATTTTCTGTAGACAGGATGTCCCACCCACATGAACCTAGTTGTGGTATACGTATTCTGCAGTAAACCCATCCCGAATACTCTCATTGGTTAACACAAATGATGATACAGGACCTAAGCCAGCAATGATCCACCCCTCCATGAGACCCATGGTCCCCAAACCCCTGGCCCGGGGACCGGTACTGGTCCGTAGGTCTTTTGGTACCGGGCCGCAGTTGGACACAGTGAAAAAATGTACTTCAGTTTTACTAATTTACTTCATTCAAAAGGAATCCAGTCATATCTCCTGGTCATAAACCTGCCTTTTCATTGAAATAACATTGCTTGACCTCTAGATGGCGCCACCATGATAAAAAACACAGTCATTCGTTTGATCTCTAAAGGCGTTGTGTATGTGGATTCAGACCCTGTGAGCAACAGAGTTAGCAAAAAGGCAGCAATGCGCGGTAACAAACAGTAATTGTCTGCATTTGTCGATTAATGCGATTAAAACAAGTTAGCTAGCATAATTGTCTGCATTTGTCGATTAATGCGTTAGTGCGATTAAAACAAGTTAGCTAGCCTTGACATTCATATTTAATATGCAAATCAAATAGAAAAGATGTGGTATGGTCAAAGCTGATGTGCACGGATCTTGACGATACATTCAGAGTTATAACATCCAAGCACACGTTCTTCTCTTCATCTTTAGTCGCCGTGCACTGGGAATGTGCGCAAGCAACACTTTGACACACGCAACAAACGAGTCCGCCTACTATGTAACTGCTGCCAGAATTGTCAGCGTGCATCGACGATCAGAGACTGACAGCGGCCGACTGAGACGCATCCCGCAGTCGTCTGTCACGCTGCGTACGCATCAACTCACTCTTCGTCAATCAATAGGCATCTGGTGTACAAATGTTTAGTACAGATCATCATCATCATCATCATCATATCAGGAATGCGAACGTCTTCCTCCACCTAAAACGCCCAATTCCGCAGAGTGAAGTCACTCCGTCTCTATGCAGGTCACTCTCTGACTCATTGTTGACAGGACTTGGTCGGGTGTACTAATGTGTCCTTATCTCTTTTACAAACATGCCACAAGCTGCCAAGAAACAGCCCGCACAGACAAGGACAAGGACACCGCGTGTGCACCGTGTGAGATAAAAGCTTAAATCTGGAAGAGGTGCAACACATTTTGCGATGCTGTTAACAAATGCATCGCCGCGCTTAGCAAGAGCTACAAACACAAACACACACAGTGCTCCGGCACATTCTTTAACATAAGGTTCATGTGTCAAGTACAGTTTAGCTCCGTGTGTCTGAACACTGACTTTGATCTGCAGAAGAACATAGACTTATAAATTCTTTATCGGCTGCAGATGAGGAGATGACTAGAGTGACTGAGACTTTTCAGAGGATTCTTTTTTTTTTCTCTCTCTTTTCATTTGAAATATGTATGAGCTGACGCATAAATGAGAATATTTAGAGCAAGTGGAGCTTTTATCTCGCAGTTTAAGTCACGTTAAAAGTCAAAGACTCTGCAGGCAGGAGAACAAAAAGCTCTGACCTCAGACAAAGACAGAGACACTGGTTTAAAAACCAAAAAAAAAAAATGCACATATGATGACGATGATGAGGGCATACAATCCACTCTACGTTGTATGTCCAGAGGCGTCGGGAGGCACAGGGGAGATTTTAGCTATTTCTATGCATCTATATCTAAAACACTGAGGTGAAAAAAAAAACACAATTTTAACATTATTTTTGTTTTCATCATTTAAATAAGAACAATACAATGTTATATATATATATGAATAAATATGTATACATATATACAAATATATATATATATATCAGTATTTTTTGTTATATTAGGTGACCCATTTAAATTCCAGCCCAAGGTTGAAAACACTGATCTGGCCTGTCTCAGATTTTCAAGTGTGAATTTATATATTTTATTTTTTTTTATTTTTATATTATGTTTATATATATATTTATTTTTATAAAAATAATATAATATATATATAAAAAAATTCATTTTTTAAACATTCTTTGTCATAATTTATAATACTATTAGTATTTTATTTAAGTCATATTCATACACAACATTTACTACAGGCTATTGGTTTGTAAAAAAAAAAGGTCATTCTCAGACTGTACTTTAATCAGGTAAAGATTAAAACTTACATAACAGCAAGAAACGATTAGGTAAATAATATTTACCAATAAAAATATTTTTAAATTTTGTTATTATAAATAATGGACTTTTCAATCATAATTTGTATAATAATTTCTGGCATGAAAATGAAAAGAGCATGTTTTCACACCTCCAGTTGGAAGCGCATATTTCCACTGGCAGAGAAAAATCAATCCAGGAAAACAAACAATAGGTGGAGACAGGCCGACTGAGTGCACACTGAACTCACCACTGTTTATTTTCTGCTTCCTTCAGGAACTGCATCATGTCACTGGCCTCAAGATTCTTGTCCTGCGCTTCTTTTGTCTCATATGTGAGCTGCACTTGGAAACGATTGGAGTCACCCTGCAGAGAAACAGTCATACTGCAAATTTGAGTTTGGATGACTCATAATTACATCACTGGTATTAATGAACGGCATGAGACCTACATTCACCTGCATTTTTCTAAATGTGTTCAGGCAAGGTAATTTATCCTTCCTGTCCTTTTCACTAAACATGTGCTAATGCTCACATCCATACTTCAAAGCTCAGAAAGCAAGAGGCTCAGACTCTGAACTGGTGTTGAGTGAATTCTTTAAATATATAAACTTTTTTTTTTTTTTCAATTCACATACCGTATTTTCCGGACTATGAGTTGGAGTGGAGTATAAGTCGCACCAGCCAGCTAGAGTGCCCTCTAGCGGTTGTTCATGTGAAAATAATAAACATTAACATTTTCAGTGGTACAGATGTAGCAGATACTGGTACACAAAGCTAAAGTGCCCTCTAGTGGCTGTCAGTGCGTAAATAACGAAAATGTGAAATTGTATATTTTAATATATATTAAGTCCCAAACCCAGCCGAAGGATGAAAAAAAAATGCGACTAATAGTCTAGAAAATACGGTAATCACAAACAGTGACCCTACATAAGATCATACTAATAAAACATACAACAAAAACCACATCCAGCTTAGCATCCACTGTGGCAGGCGTGTCCAAAGTTCGGCCCCAGGGGGCCAATTGTGGACCATTGCCAAACTTGACATGGCCCACAGCAAATGTCAAGAAATGTATCACTTGTCGTCCGCCAGCATTGCACCCAGAGTATTAATTAATACCAGAATTTCAATTTCAAGAAATGTATCACTTGTCGTCCGCAGCATTGCGCCCAGAGTATTAATATACCGGAATTTCAACTTCTGCGATTTTTGTACTTCGAGAGAAGTCATCTTATATGTCATCAGATGTGACGGGCAGGATGATTTTGGTGAGACCTTTTTAGATTGGTCATCCAAGTGATGAAATGAAAATATACTGTTTGCATAAACTAATTTAATATTAATGGTTCAAAAAATGTCATGCAGAATGATGTGACTGTCTGTCACATTGTTTTCCCCTCAGTTGATGGGAGTTGGTATGAAAGAACACCTTTCTGAATGTGCGTGCAACAAGACGAAGAGATAAATGCCTTCCATACGGTGAAATCTTCTGTACGTACAGTCCCTGCAATCATAAAGCCAATGGCACAAAAGAGCAAACTCTTTAAAAGTGTGCATTCTCCCATGCGCCGCATCCTGCAGACTTTAATGAAGGTGGAAGGTCTGTCATACCCCGTAGACCTGAGCAGATATAAACCTTCTTCCTCTCGTCTCTTCTCCCCCGTTTCTTAAATGTCAAGTCTTCAGTGTTCACTGCTAATTATGTGCACATTCACAGGCAGTAATTAAGAAGCAGCTGGGTCATCCATGAGGAGGGATTGAATGACGATTTTGTAGTATAAAAAGGGAATATTAACGGGGACTAGAAAAGGTCAAGGGTGAACAAAAACGAGGGGCGCTGATACTAAAAGCTAATTTGACCCTGCAGGAGATGATTAGATTTCAAACCACTGTCTCTTAAGAAAGTATTGCCTTCATTAATTCAGCATAACTATTTAGCCTTGTGACCACAAACAGAACTCAAGTGTTCAAAGGTGTGAGCGCCATTATTTACCAGAACAAAAATGATCTATTTTTAATTTCAGAAGTCAATCATTTAAAGAGTTCACTAATATTTTTTTTAATTTCATTTTTCAATAACTAAACTAAGATAAAGCATTTATAATTAATAGGCGAATGTCAAGGCCAAAGTGGCTTAACAAGTGACAGATTTGGCCTCTTACTCATTTGATTTTGGAAAAAAATATTGACTGAAGCGACACCGCATTCCCGGCGTAAATATGAAACACTGGTTAGTATTTCTATATCTTATAAACCTGGTGAAATATGATCATGTGTTCAACTGTTTACGCCAGACCTACGTTTTGGTTGTTGCCTTCCTCCTCTGAAGAGTTAGAGGATTCCTCTCCGCTGGATGGAATCGTCTCAAAGTCCTCTGTGTCCATGGAGGGGAGACGTCTCTGTGTCCAGCCTGGAGACACAACATGTGTGTTTTAACAACAAACGCAGTTCAGAAAATATTTGCTAATACATTAAAAAAGGGAGATCAACCGTGTTAATCTGTCAGGGAGGGACAAAGTAAAACACATTTAACTGACGTCTTGTCCTTGAAGAGATCCAATGTGGGACATGTGTTGTCCTCTGCAGTTACCTGGTTGGGATGTGGATCTAGGGACAGCTGCAGAACCAGCAGCAGCGGCAGCGGTAGAGCTGACTGTCATGCTCTGACGTTTCCCTACTGCAGCCATGGCGCCACGCAAAGTATCTGGAGGAAAGCCACGAGTTTTACATCTGGTTGCATCAAGACCACCGAGTGAAATCACTGTGACCAGACAACACGGACTTCCACCGACCGGCAGTGCCAGACAATTCACATGCAGTCTGTCTTCCCCGAGACAGCAGCGGAGCTAAGACCTATTTGTCGAGATGCAGACAAATAAGCAACAAAATCTAACCGTCTTCATGCACAATCAATAAAATCTCACATCACAACAACAACACAACACATGCCGATACGGTCAGCAACGGAAACAACATAAGCAAAGAAGTCTAAGCTACAGAATCCGGTCAGCAACGGAAACAACATAAGCAAAAAATCTAGAAAAATAATGATACAAAATGTAAGAAGCAACCAAACCACGATCACGATCAACAAACAGGCGCAACATGCTCAGACTCAGTAAACCATAATCCAAGCCAACCATGCTGTGCATAAGTATATGCGTGTATTATATATGTATTATTGATCAACTGCTTTGTCCCTCTGCAGGGGCAGAGCTTTGGGTTTTGAATGACTTAAAACAGATCATCTTCAGGTAGTGGGGTTTTTTTCAGTCTGTATCGATTCATGCCCATTGTGTTGTGCACTTAAAAGATGTTTTCAACAAATATGAAGTGGTCTTCACGGTTCAAGATGTACCTTCATAACCAAATGGAGTGGGGTCACTCTTTATTTCATGCCTCTTGCTTTTCGCAGTAGAAGAAAGGGGACCTGGTTGCAAACATAACATAAAACCAGGAACATATAAAATACATGTTATATACATATATTTATATATATTAAAAAAAAAGACACATTCATTACAGAGGCCAAAATGTACTTCCAGGTGGAGCCCTGAACAGTACTGTTTCTGCAAAAATAAACACAGCCAAATAAACACACATAGATTTCTCCCTCCGGACTTCGCTGAGTTAATTTTGGATTTTGTGTGTTTCAAAAATAAAACTCTGTTATTACAAAGATGACGACTCCATACAAGTACACCGCCAGAGAAAATTAGCCTCGATAATAAGGTCTTCGACAAAAATGACAAATGGCGGTGATGCCAATTTACCAGTGTATTTTCATACTAGACACTATAATCTACCCTAGCAACATGGAGCTCATACATTCGGGGGAATACTGCGGATATTTCGTGATGTTGCAGTGTACTGCATTTGTATAAAAACATCGGCTTATGGAGTAAAGAGGATAAAAACGTATTTTATTTAAAATCCTCTGTAACTCATCGACAGATTTTTTTTTTAAAGTAAGACAAGAAGCGAAATGTCTGATAAAGACAAGCTGGTAATAGGAACACAAATGCAAACACAGAAAAATATATATCTTTAAATTCTCCATGCTGTTTCTCTTTAGTTGAACGTGAACTTCATCTTTATTCCTGTAGAACAGCTCTTTCTCATAGCAGGCTGAATGTCACCGTGTTCCAAATGTCAGCCTATCAACATTATGATTGCATTACGCTTTAAAAACCAGTGCTTCTTTGTTCATTTGTTTTGATTTCTCATTACGCTTTAAAAACCAGTGCTTCTTCATTTGTTTTGATTTCCGGCGAAGCGTTGACTTTCCGTATACATCTGATGAATTTTATTCAGAAATATATATTATTCACAAAGTGTGGTGGCACAGAAACACGCAGCTCAAGTACTACTGAAAAACATAATAACTCAAAATGTGACAACGGTAAAAAAAACGTACGTGGGTGTTTGGTTTTCAAACTTCTTTAAATCTGTTTTTTCAACCTTGACCTTGTTCTCAAAAGAAGCGAAAATGCACTTAAAACAGAACAGTTACAACTGAACTTTAAATAATACCACAGATCAATCCTGATAAAAAAAGCCCAGATGTCTTCAAAGGTCAAATTCACTTCCTTCAGTCACAAAAATCATAGAACACTGAAACATCGACAGAGTCACCAAATGTGACACAAATGTTTTAGACAACAACATCTGACTTTCAAGCAAAAATTCCGGCTCTAACGTATGGGGAGATTAAAGACAAAACAATCCTAAGAAGACGTCTCAAAGTCTAGCCCCTCGTACCAAAGAAATGCATTTAGGGCTACACTAAATCTTAAAAGAGACGACCAACCTCTTTGTCTTAACTTAACTTACCTTTTATATGTATAATCATAACCTTCTCATTCTCTGCTACATTTGAATGCATTTCTGACCAAAGTGCGATGTCAGTTTTTTTTTTTTTCAAACGAAGGACTAAGCAATGCAAGGTTTTGATTACGAACCCAAGGGCCAATCAGGTACCTTTTGTGCGACGCGTTGCAAAGGAGGAAGAAGCAGAGGAGGCAAGAGAGGAGGTAAGGGAGAAGCGGCGGGGGACCTCCGCCTCCTTAGCAGCAGGATCTGCAGCAGGCAGACGCAGGAGATAGGGGAGGATAATAATGAAGAAAGTGGTGAAAAGGAACAAAGAAAAAAAATACGTTAAGGTGAAAAACAGTGGGAATTTCAACTGACATTTAAAGTGTAAAATAAAATGACTAATTTCAGACAAAAAAAATATCACGTGCCTTAACATACATTAACATACCGAAATATCGAATGCAAGTTACATAACACGTAAAACTACCCTTCAACCACCACACAGGGTCCGCCTCAGTACTCATGCGATGACTCCTCCGATATTTCCAAGAAGGATGTGACATGTTCTGACATGACAGTTGGACAGTTGTTGGACAAAGGAAGGGTGAACAGATCATGACAGTATGACGGATGATCCGTCAGTGGTAACCACTGCACGTATTTTACCTACAGCCACATGGGTTTCCGGGGCTCAGCAGCTACTTTAACAACAGTCTACTGGGTTTGGCTGGGCTTTGACGGAGGAATGTGAAGGTATAAATATGGAAAGACATTGTTCACCAGCCACTAGTTCTGTAACGGAAGAGTAGATAATTTAACTATCCATCCATCCTGCCTAAATCACCGGCCCCTAAATCTGCTCCCTGACCTTTGACCCATGCCATTGCATTTGTATTATTCATTTTACTTTGTGTAAGGCAGTGGTGCCCAACAAGTAGATCGAACTCTACCAATAGATCGCAAAGGGAGTGCTTGTGCCATACAGCTACATGCATTTAATCAGTACACCAATATATAACGTGTATATAGAGTATGTTCAGTTTATATACGTAAATATATATATATATATTTAATATAGCCTGGTTCATTTGAATGGTAGCTCCCAACCTTAAAAGAAAGTGTGGACGCAACTTGGGGTTTGTGGACACGTTTGTGACTAGCCTGGTTCATTTGAATGGTAGCTCCAAACCTTAAAAGAAAGTGTTTCTTATGTTCCTTTTGGATTTGCTCTTCTTAAGAAAAATTTGGTGGCTTTGCACAAAGTATCCCTACCAGGAGTGTCAAACATACGGCCCGCGGGCCAAAACCGGCCCGCTTAATGAATTTTGAAAATAAAATAATATCAGGGCATTTTCGGGGTATTTTTTTGTAAAATTATATGTCATCAAATATACATAAATAATAATATTAAATATGTAATATACTACATACTATAAAGAAAAGGGAAAAAAAAAACATGGACCACTTAACATGGAATTAGGATGTATGTGGACCATGAACCAAAAAGGAGTCTATGGCAAAATCTCAGTTGTTAAATCTTGTGGTTATCACGCTATCACACTACAACTCCCCTTCAAACTCCCATTAGCATCTCCCACAAATGAGGAACTGACACACTAATGAAAATAAGTTCTAACACGTTAAACGACAAGACAAGTTACATTTACGCTTTCATTTAGAGGCATGTGAAGCTTAATGCTACACAGAAAATATCATCTAACTCCAAAATGTTAATACGCTATCAAATGGCAGAACAGGTCAGACATTATAGCGTTGGCATTTAAAGTTGATCTTCTCCAAATAAGATCCTCCCGTCTATTTAGCTTTTTTATTTGCTTTTTTTTTTTTAATATATCAAGCCTCCAGCCCAGTGTCTTCAGCTGTAACCCTGTCCTTGTCTGCCCTCAATCACGACCTCCTTGTTGCTGGACAGGCTGATGCAGATGAAACTGACATGCACTGATACCAAAAAGCCTGAAGTTGATGAAGACGAGGGCTTCATTACCCACTGTGGCTGTTTGGGTCATGTGGAGAGACGTGCACCACAACAATAGGACACACACTGACACAGGAGCTTATATGATATGACAAAGAGCAAAAATAGGACCAGGCAGATGAGACGGTGCTGCTGCTGCCTGCTGCCACTGATGAAGGCAGCAGGACGAAATGAAGGTGACAAAGAACAGACGATGACAGAGACGACTTGACACCGAGACTGCAGCGGATTCCGCATGCCAGCGGCATCACAGTGTTACCTGAAGGAAGAGACCTCGTGTTGGAAAGTCTCTGCAATGTGAAGCGTTTCCTAGCGTTAGTAGATAAGTTTCCTGATTGGCTGGAGGAAGCATCAGCTGAGCAGGAAAGCAAGAAGTAGCATTATGGTAGAGAGTAAAAATGGATTGGATTGGGAGTGAGTCAGATTATTCTGGTGAAAAAGGTAAAGCTTACAAGAGGAGGTTTTTGTTGTTGAAATAATGAACCAGTGGGAAAAAAAAAAAAACACCTTTCGTTACATTAAGCTATTGCATACCTGCTTCAGTCCTGCATATTTAACCTAGGGGTGCCAAACCCCTGGTCTGCAGACCAACACTGTACCATGGGTCATGTGGTACTGGTGTAAAAATTAATTAATAATAATTAAAATGTAATTATTTACTTATTTTACTTATTTTAAAGAGTAATCTACTTACTTACTTACTAACAAAAACGAGTCTTTTATTTTGAAAATTTGCTGATCCTTAAATCCTTCAAAGATCATTATGGTGCACTTATTTTACTTATTTTAAAGAGTAATTTGCTGTCTTACTTACTAACAAAAACGAGTCTTTTATTTTGAAAATTTGCTGATCCTTAAATCCTTCAAAGATCATTATGGTGCTAACAGCCAGGACCTGCCCACTATTCCTTTTTGGCAACGCGTGATTTAACCTATTTAATTAGAGTAGTTTGGTGAAAACCATGGATCAAATCACTGTCCAATAAAAACAACCCACTCTACATTATCACACTTCCTCAGGACTTCACTGTTGAAGTGAAATGGAGTCGCGGTATAAATCCTCCGTCCAATCATTCCATCTTCAATCGATCAATTCTTTACAAAGATAACTTCATTTAACAGAACGAATCCTCCATAACACTATCGAGTTTCCAACAACACTGAAATTAAAACTTTGCGCGGTTTTCTTATTTTTTTTATTGTGTTTGTCCGTTGGAAGGGCAGTCGATAATCCAGTGTCGGGCAGACACTGCTGTGTCCTCCTGAGGACATGTTTAAAGGCCGATCATATCACAGTGTGACTAAAGGAAAAGAAAAACCGCCAGGACGATGCCAGAGTGCATACTAGACAGGTTTGTCCTTCAGAGGCCGAGGCCTTATTTAGATAGTGTATTTAGTCTGACCTTAAATATTTGTCAATTAAAAAAAAAAAACCTTTTACACATCAGTTTGCAGCTTCGCTTACTGTATAATAAAGATCAAGTGCCTTCACTATGCTTACAGCTTGATCAGGCTGTTGAGTTCTAAAGCCAAGGTTATCACTTCACAGTATCATGAAGTGTCATGCATATTCCAATAAGGTCATTTTTTTTTTCAAAGACAGGAAAATATACACGTATATTATGCACTCGTAAAAAGTGAGTATTGGAAATTCCGTATCATAATGAATGAAGGCGTACGCACGCGGTTGACATCGCTGAAGCAGTGGATTGTAAAAGTAACTTAGTCCTAATTCTTTAGGGACTGTTATAATGTCAAAAAATGACCACAGTACCAATACAGGACAGTACACTGCAGTACTATACAGCAGGTGAGAGTGTACAAAAACACAGCACGTTGACACGCTGTTCCTCCTGTCGTCCGTGTCAAAAAATGACCACAGTACCAATACGGGAGACACATTACTGCAGTACTATACAGCAGGTGAGAATGTACAAAACACGCTGTTCCTCCTGTCGTCCACCACAACCACAGGAAGCTAATCATAATCACACAACCATGACCGTGGCCAGACACTACAGCACTTCACTTCATATGAAACCTCACACAGCATCATGTCATCATTTAAAAAAAAAAAATTATATTCTAATAGAGTCTCCCAACAACCACTTATTTTCAGCGTGACCCAAAATGATGAACTTTCTGCTGCTAATATATCTTACAACAAAAATACGACTTTGTTTCAAATGACTGTAGTAGATTTTTAAGTTGATAACAAACAAAATCATTCAGTGTTGTTTAAGGTAATTTAGTAGGATTGACGTAGAATATTTAAATTATACTGAAAGTACTACATAAGTGAAACTGAAAAGAGAGGGAGAGGGAGAGGAAAAAAAAAAGGGAGGAAATGTGAGAAAATGTGTAGGAAAACTGAAATTAAGAAATGATTTTAAGTTGTGGTAGAACTATAGCCCACTATAACCCTCCACTGCTCCTCTGCCTGTCACTCAGCCGAGGACAGAGAGGAGCCTGAGGTCCCGGGAGAGAGAAAAACCTCACACTCACGGACCAATACTGGCGAGACTTTTCACCTTAGTTACTTTTCACTTGGCTTTGGCTCCAGGCGCTAAGTCCTTAACAGGGTCAGAAAAGTTGTTAAATCTAGCGACAAAGTCAACTGGAAGCACGAGGTTGCAGAAGTACACTAAGCGGAAATGCAAATTTGATTGGCCGATAGTGTCACATGAGGCTCGTAGAGAAGTTTTCTGGACCTTAATGTTGCCCAGAAAATGAGGTGAGAAAATGAGGGGGAGAACAAATAGAATAAATGAGAATGAATATTTTACTTGTTTCCAGGATATTTGACCTTTGTTCTTATGACCAGAAAACTGGTCAATCATCTTTCTGTCTCCACAAGGACAGTATTTTGACATTTCAGAAAGATAGATAGATAGATGTATATGTATGTACCTCACAACTCATGAAAACCAGAGTCTGTGTGTGTGCGTAAACCCACCTCTCTTCTGTCTCATGTTTGGGCTTGGGTTCGTCCTCCTGAATCCAAACTCTGGACTTGAAGAATCAGACTGTCTCAGCATTAGCTTGCGAACGGTCCTGTATGTAGAGAATACAAGTATTTGAGTCGCTACATTTACCCTAGACTTGTCCGAGTTTGACTCAAAACAAACTCTTAAGCGCTGGCTGCTAAAATTAGCTCACCTCATGGGGGCTCCGTAGATGTTGAGTTGACTGGCCTCTGCGGAAACAAAAGACACAGTTGTTAAAGTTTTTGATCCGTTGAAGCCACTGCAGCAAAGAAGGTCGACGAGGAAGAAAAAAAAAGGTGGGTTTTAAAACTTTCCATCTACAAAGTCTACTTCTACTTACGTTAGTCTGTTAAAGAAGCAGACACAGAGACACACTGAATACCAGACCTGCGAGCAAGAAAATGCTGCTTTTAAAGCCTCAAGCAACATAACCCAATTTTAAGAACTCACATACTCTAGAGGACCTATGTCACTCCCCTGCGCTGACACAGTGCTAACATCATAATCTAGGACGTAGAAACATCAAAAGAGTCTGACTTACTAAAAGTTTCCAATAAAAGAACACAAACAAAATAAAGCGATCGTGGCCACAATCCAATGTACGGCGTACAACCGGCGACTGTAAACAAAGCTGTCTTCTGCGTATAGCACCACGTGATAACGTAATCCGCCACTCGGCTCGTCGATTACGTAATGCCGAACGATGGGATAATGGAACAAGACTTTCTCAAGAAATTCACAGGAAATAACATAGGACAAGGGTCCCCAACCTGTACGGCGTACAACCGGCGACTGTAAACCGCAGTGGGACACAGTGAAAAAATGTACTTCAGTTTTACTAATTGACTTAGTTCAAAAAGAATCCAGTCATATCCCTTTACTTTTTTCATTCAAAGATAATCTGTCAAGGTTTCGAAACAACAGGTCATTCAGACTCTGATACTAACAGAATAAAGGCTAAAAGATGTTTTATTTTGAAAATGTAGTCCTTCAACAATGGCGCAGAATTATCGGTCCTCAGTAACAGCTGATGCTGTTTAAACCGAGGACTTCTTGTATTTATGGAGTCTGAGCTCAAATCCCTCTTGTAACGTGGGGATATAAATTTCAGATAGGGAATGAAAGAAACCGACACCTGAATAGGTTAAATATAAAA